CGGGAGAAAAAACGAGCGATCCAGGAGGCACGAGGGAGGAAGAAAAAAGCGGGACAAGGCGAAAAAGGAGAGAGGCGAGGAGAAAACGCACACGAGGAAGGAATACGAAAATCGGTGGTCGATCAAGGATCGAACGTGTGTTACCTATGCGCGAGTAATAAGCCTCGATATTCCCACACGGGCCCATCCTGGCCCGCCGTGGGAAACTCATACGTGAGCGGTGCGCGCGAGTTAATCGAGAGAGACGTGTGGCGGCCTTACGAGCCGAACTATTTCGACTCGCAGGTGCGGATTTTTTGATACGGGAACACGTCGCGTCGCGTTGCGTCGTACTCGCAGCGTTTCAACGCGTCGACATATTTTATCGCGCAGCTGGAACGCCACTGTGTTACGTATTTCTTTCCCGGTTAAAAATTAAAGAAATACGAGCTGACGTTTTTAATCGATCTCTCTTATTTGTCTAGATAACGATCCCGTCGATCGGCGATGAGACCTTTACTTTAAAGGAACTGGACTGGAGTGTGGCGTCCCGTTCGCAATTTTCATCGTAATAACGCGGTTGTGCAACGTGTTGACGTCGCCGATCGGTAATTTTTAGACGGGGGTAAATCGCGTCTCCGGGGCTGGGAAGAAGCTTTTAATGTTTTAATCTTGCGAAGCGTATTAAAATCGCTGCGAGGAAGCTTAACTGCGTTCCGGTACGGCCGGTATCGTCGCGGACCACGCTCGATCGGTTGTTTATAATTCTTCGCGTGCACTAAGGAAGCAATTTAATAATAATAACGGCAGCGGCACACGGATTCTACACGGCCGAGTGTACGCAATCATCGTATATCTATATACATACGCGTATATAATCGTTTATCATAATAATGCACACGCGAGTGTGCGTGCCGCTTAATGTACACACCCATACAAATGGACAGCTGATTGCAACTTATGTTGCCGCAGTTATTATCGTCGTCCGTCGAGAGGGAAGAAGAATTAACCGAGCCCGATAGTTCTTGTCCCAGAATTTTGTCCGTGTACACACGCACACGTACTCGGGGGTCGATCGGGGCCAGGGGAGAGAAAAGATGCCAAGAACGGAATACATCGAAGGTGAATCTGGGCCTTGATCGGGTCTTACATCGCAGCTGCAGGTGCCTTTAGAAATTGGCGGCATAGCAGACTCGAGGTAGGGTTGACGAGAGAAGTTCTCGAAGGGGGACCGAGGGCATCGGGCCGTCGATGCTGCACGCGCCTCTGACACACCGATGCCACCGATATCTTCTTAAACTTTCCTATCCGCTCATTCATGCCCGGCTAAATGCCTATAATTTCCGGGATGATTACAGGGCACCGTAACCAACGCCCTATAGACCCATGCTGTTCCACCGCGAGAGCTCGTTACACGAGACCCCCGAAATTGAAACGGAATGAGCTCCCTCGCCTTCCGTTCTCTCTTTTTCGCCCTTTCTCGTGCTTTTCCTCTAGCTTCGAGCCACCCTAGCCACTACGCTCCTCGTCAGCGACCATAACGATATCTAAATTTTTCGTTCTGCTCTCATCGACCCATCCATAAACTCCTTCGCAGGATTATCGCAGGTTGCTCCAGTTAAATAAACAGAGAACAGAAAAGGCACGGAACAGCTGGCTCCCTTTTTTCGATTTTGGTGCTTCACTTAGCCAAGTTTTTACACTCGTGTCACGTTCCGCTTCGAAACACGATGCTTTCAGAGTGGCAACGAATTAATAACGAAGCACGAAACGGCCAACACGCCCCGTGTTTTAGCAGAGTCGAGATCCGAGATCGAAAATCACTTGAAAAATTAGCGGCGAAAGATACGTTCGAGCCAACTTTCGAATTCGCGTGAATTGTAAGGACGATATAATCACTTTACCGGATACATATATCGAATAGTTAATTCGATAAAACTGATCCGATGTCGTTGACGGAATCGTTCCGGAGAAAAGTGCATTGTGTCGATGGCATCGTGCCCGCGATAAACCTAGCCCCCGATGATCGCGTGCACGAGAACATGCTTTTAATTGTAACGCGTGAATTAAGGGGTAGCACAGATTTGATTCCACATCTATAATCGGAATTGGTTAACGGAGTTTAAACTATATTGTTATATAGAGCGTATCCATTTTTTGAGAGAATAGAATCGTTCGAACTCTTTTTACCGATTCCATTCGAGCATACGAAGTATCGATCTCACCGATATAACCTGCAGAGTATTCGCGGAGGTTAAATTGATTCACGCTGTCGTTGTTATCAATTTTCACGACAATTTTTTAAAACGTCGTACAATTTTCCATATTCGTTTCATGGAACGCACTATGGTGAATGTTTCAACGTTCCAGTGGAACTAAACCAGTCCACTATATTATTATGATAACGCGTGACAGTGCAATCCACCTGTGCTCCGTGTAGATTATTTAAAATACAGCTTCACCTAATGTACGAGTCTTCTAATTAGTTTAAACACTATACTATCGGGGAAAAAGTTACGCAAAAATGTAAATGGTCGCCTATTACACGATAATAACGCGTTAGCACGGAAAAAATGTAATAAATCAGTAACGTAAATCATCCGTACCGGTTCCTATCGATCTTAACGCACACGTGATTTCTCTCTCGATTCGAAGCGAAAGGATACCGGTGTTTGCAAAAACTGTAACGGTTCGATCCCGATCTCCCACGCTTTTTTCGTTCGACCGCGCACCGAATCGATCGAATATCCCGATCACGAGAGTATCGTAGCAGCGAGGAAAAAAGAAATCAACTGCTCACCTCCTGTTGCTGAATTAGGAAGTCGGGAGCGGGTGGTGGCGGGGGTGGTTCCGTGGCGGAAACCTCTTGAAGCAGTCCCACGTGCTCCCAGCAATCTTCCGATATGTCCATGATCGTCCCTCCTCTTCCTCCTCCTTCCTGTTCAAATGTCTTCGGGGCGAACGAGACACAAAATCCGCGCGGCGGGACGTCGCGACTCGGATCAATCTGTTTCTCCTGGTCGGTTGTCTGGTTCTCAGATCTTCCTCTCTCTCTCTCTCTCTTTCTCTCTCTCTCTCTCTCTCTCCCTCTCTCTCCCTCTTCTGATTTTCTCCCTTAACAGCTGGTTTCGTGGAAAAACCGGAAACTATATCTAGACACGCTTGGTCACTCTATCTTTTCTTTTCTTTTCTATTACCAAGTGTTCCTTCTTTCTCCCTCTCACGATGGCTGTCTCCGCAGCCGGAACTCTGTCACTCGTGAACCGGGATACGTATAGCAGTTCGAGGTAGTCGTAGACGGACGACGCGCGAAAAAACCGAACGGAGAACGCACGAACACACGGTAACCGTCGACACGGCGTGTCGCGTGACCCGCGTTCTATGACGACGA